AAAAAAAATAAAGAGGGCACGTATTGAATGGAGCACTGGGTATTACATGCAATGAATCATGGAACACTACATCAAAAAAAATAATTAAAAAAAAAGAACTCTCATACAAACTGATAAGAAAATCACTAATTCAGGGGTGCCTGGCTGGTTCAGTCAGAAGAACATATGACTCTTGATTTCGGGGTTGTGAGTTCCAGCCCCATGCTGGGTGTAGAGACTACTTAAAAATAAAATCTTTTCCTTTTTAAGATTTTATTTATTTATTTGAGACAGAGAGAGTGAGTGAGAGAGAGAGAGCGTAAGCGGGGTGGGGGGCAGAGGGAGAGGAATAAGCAGACTCTCTGCTGAGCAGGGAGATTGATGCGGGGCTTGATCTGACTGAACCACCCAGGTGCACACCTTAAAAATAAAATCTTAAAAAAAAGAAAAGAAAAGGGCGTCTGGGTGGCTCAGTCGTTGGGCGTCTGCCTTCGGCTCGGGTCATGATCCCAGGCTCCTGGGATCGAGCCCCACATCAATCTCCCTGCTCTGCAGGGAGCCTGCTTCTCTCTCTCCCACTCCCCCTGCTTGTGTTCCCTCTCTCGCTGTGTCTCTCTCTGTCAAATAAATACATAAAATCTTTAAAAAAAGAAAACACTAATTCTGACAGAAAAATGAGGAAAGGAAATGAACAGGAAATTCAGAAAAAATGAAATGGCTATTAAGCTTATCAAAAGCTCCAATCTTACCAGTAACACAAGAAATGCTAAGTAAGGCAAGAAAACGTTTGCATAGTTAAAAAAGATGTGCCCAATGTAGTTCAAGGTCTAATGACTCCTGAACTCTCATATGCTGCCGAGGGCGGTGAAACACAGTATTAGAGGAAGATAATCGACCATGTTCATCAAGAGCCTTTGACACAAAAATTCAATTTCCAGGGATCTACTCCTAAAGAAATACAAGATGCAGGGCGCCTGGGTGGCTCAGTCGGTTGGGCGTCTGCCTTCGGCTCGGGTCATGATCCCAGGGTCCTGGGATCGAGTCCCGCATCGGGCTCCCTGCTCAGCCAGGAGCCTGCTTCTCCCTC